AATTTAAATATCTATACAATGAATTGAACTCACCAAAAACCAATTTGTGTAACTTCGCGCACTAATTAAGCAATTACTGCGGGCTTACTTAATAAACAGTCACAATCTGAACGCATAATATAACTTCGCCTTTCCATTTCTTCTGAACATATGTATTAAACCTCAAAGTTGATTGGTAGTTTGTTTTCTTTTTGTTGACATATTTTCTCAACTAATAAGTAAACACTGTAGTAAATTATTGAAGGTAAACAAAGAAAAAAGAAAGGAAAAGGAAACCTAAATTGTAGGAAACTCAAAACCATTTGAAAGAATTGCATATGCAGCCCTATAATTTTGTATTAGCGCATCATCACCAATGTTCAAACTCATTAAAATATTATTTGGGCACTGAACCGAAAAAATATTTATCAAAAGAGGTTTATCAAATTGAGTTTATTTTGTAGTTCTCAAATTCGTAAATTCCATCCATTACAGAGTGTACCAAAGTCAAACCGTCCCATTCTAACATGGTTTGTAATATCTCTAAAAAAACTATTAGAAAGCAAATCAAACAATTAAATTACTACCACAACAAGTTAATTATAATTATCAATTCAAAAAAGATTGTTCTAAAGTAAATTAAATAATAACACGGTTTAAAATAGATATTCATATAATCATTTTAAATATAACTATAATTTGTTATTTTAGTTAAAGGAAATTTTAATTATTTACTTTGATATATTTTAGAGAACATAAGTTAAACCGTTCAACATGAATAAATTTGTAAACTTAGAGCAACTCCAACCAGACAGTAAAACACCAAATTTGATATGTGAATTGCTCCAATCAGACAGCACATGAGACAGTATACTTTTGTTTTTGGCATTTTATGAACAATACCACACCATATTTGGAGTAAAATATTATTATTTTTAATTGTTCTATTAAATAATATAATTAATTTGTTATTTATTCATTGATTATATCTGTAATCAAAAATAAATATGACATTAATATTTTTGTATAAATTATTTTAGTGTTACAAAAATTTAATTATAACCTTTAACGTCCATAGTATTTTTACACATATTTTTATTTTTTTACACTAAATTTAGTGTTTTGGATCATCACAAAACTTAGTTCTTATATCAGTTTATATAGCAGCATGATTGTTTTTGTTTATTTTGTCCCAAAGTACAAGTTGTCTTCCTTTTATTGTTTTTGGTCCCGAAACGAAATTCCGTTTTTTTTCTCCAGTGTTGAACACTATTTTGCCTGGTCAACGTCCGACCAGTCAATCCCACTTTGCATATTAAGTTATTAACTAACTTCCATAGTTTTTTTTTTTTCTAAAGAACCAACTTCCATAGCTGTTAAAAAAAAATCACTTCCATCTTTTTTATTCATAAGAGTTTTCTTTATACTATACTGTATATTTCTCCCTGTTTTTCCCTTTCCGGCAGGAAACATAATCTTATATATGATCCTAAAATTTAGTGATTAAATTACAAAATTCAAACAAGTACGACGAAATAAAATAGAAAAAACAATGGGACCAATATTTAAATGGAAAACACTTCACAAATATTATATTGCACCTTTTTCATAATTTGTTCATACCTTTTTAAGTTGTTATTCATCCCTAAACTCCATTTGGCAACTTATACTTGACTCTAATTCAACGTGTGGGGCACACCGTGTTTACGACTTTGAAAAGTTAGACAAATTAAATAGTTATAACTTATAAACACTAAATGATGTTAAAACAAAAAAAAGAGAGAGAGAGAGAAGAAGAAGTTTCGATTGAATAGGTTCCAGTCCCACTCGTCTAAGTGCTAGTGGTATGATAAACATGAGAATTTGACCGGTCCCTTTGTTTTTTGTTTGTTACTATGCTCCGTGTTAATTAAGTTATAAACTTATAATTCTATTCATATCTTGGTCAAAGCAAAATTGTGAATAACGAAAAGTTAAATTTTGTGTACTTCAATATTTTGAGTTGGTCTCGACTAACTATCAAATCATATGGCAATCTTTTTAGGCTCTTAGCGCGTGTGAACGTAAATTACCAATTCTAATGTCATCACTTCTCTCCATCAGCACATTGCAATGATACTGTATATATTTGGATCATTTTCATCGTTGACTTGCAATATCTTATAAATACATACCGTCTATATTGTCGGATAACCAATTCTTCTAGACATTTGTCTAACTAAATTATGTGATATGTTATTACAATAAAATTTGTATCATGGTCAAACCAAAAAAAAGAGAGAGAGAAATATACCTACCAATTGTGCGTGGAATCTTGATTTTCTTTAATTCCACACAATGGTAATATTTTAGTATAATTATTGAAAACTGTAATGTTCCATCCATTTATGTATATCTAATTTTATAACCAGTAACAACTATAATTTTCGGCTTTAATGATTATGTTTTCCCGTCAAAGAGATATGCATGTTTCTGGTATATTAAAGTTGTGAATTCCTTCTATATTGGAGGCTCAAAGCTCCGAACAGGATTCGACACATATAGATTTTTGCAATTCTATAAATTTATTAATATTTATTATCAATATCTATAGTCTATAAAGGCTAGTGGTGTTATATTGATGAATCGTGGAAAGATACGGAGTCAGTAACAGATCTAGGATGGTTCTATTTTAAGGAAGATGTCAAACAGACAATAATGGGAGCACAAAATGTAAGACAAAGTCTTACGCCTCTGCACGCAGAAATGGAAGCCCTTATATGGGCTATGCATTGTATGCTGGAGAATCAAAAGATGGAAACCATTTTTGCTACGTACTGTTCAGAGTTGGTGAAGATGGTGTCTACACCCAAAGAATGGTCAGTTTTTGCTCTACATTTAAAAGAGATAACGAAGATGAAAAACAGATTCAGCTTCTATCTTATATCACATATTTTACGCGCAAAGAATTCAAAAGCGGATAACCTAGCAAGGAGTGCTCGGATCCACCGCCAAAATGTTATGTATGTATACTCAGTACCACAAGTTTGGTTAACCCAACCGTTCTAGGCACTTAAGCTAATGAAAAAAAAAAAGAAGAAGTCTTCCTATATTAGGGAACAGAGTATTATTACCACATGTATGTATACTCAGTACCACATATACTGATATATACATGTGTACAGATTCAAATCACACATATACGAATATGAGAACTTAATACAACAATAAATAAAATAAATTTTTCCAAAAATAAATACGACTTAGAGTTCGTAATTTATTGAGCCGGATGAATGCTATCCACATGTAAGAATGTAAATTCAAACAGAGTAAAAATTATGTTTGTGGATTCAAATCTAGTTAATCACACATGTTTATATATTCAATTAGAATCCATATCATGAATTCAATTCAAGTAAGTTACAATAATGAAGTAAATATATCTCTCAAAAAAGAATTACGACTTAGAATTTGTGATTTACTAATCCATATGAATGTTATCCACGTGGTACTATACAATTATAAACCGAGTAAAAAACATGTGTACGGATTCAAATTTAGTTAATCACACATATACTTATATATACATGTGTACAGATTCAAATCACACATATACGAATATGAGAACTTAATACAACAATAAATAAAATAAAATTTTCCAAAAATAAATACGACTTAGAGTTCGTAATTTATTGAGCCGGATGAATGTTATCCACATGTAAGAATATAAATTCAAACAGAGTAAAAATTATGTTTGTGGATTCAAATCTAGTTAATCACACATGTTTACATATTCAAACAGAATCCATATCATGAATTCAATTCAAGTAAGTTACAATAATGAAGTAAATATATTTCTTAAAAAAAGAATTATGACTTTGAACTTGTAATTTCCTAATCCATATGAATGTTATCCACATGTTACTATATGGATTCAAACCGAGTAAAAAACGTGTCTATGGAATCAAATTTAGTTATCACACATATATGTATATATATATATATATATATACATGTGTACAAATTCAAATCACCCATATACGAATATGAGAAGTTAATATAACAATAAAGAAAATAAAACTTTTTAAAAATAAGTACGACTTAGAGTTCGTAATTTATTGACTCATATAAATGTTATTCACGTATAATAATATAAATTCAAACGAGAAAAATTTATGTTTGTGGATTCAAATCTAGTTAGTCACACGTGTTTACATATTCAAACAGAATCCATATCGTAAATTTAATTTGAGTAAGTTATAATAATAAAGTAAATATATTTCTTAAAAAATAATTACGATTTAGAACTTGTGATTTACTAATCCATATGAATGTTATCCACGTGTTATTATACGAATTAAAACTGAGTAAAAAACGTGTATACGGATTTAAATTTAGTTAATCACACACACACATATATATATATATATATATCATGTGTACAAATTCAAATCACACATATATAAATATGAAAAGTTAATACAACAATAAAGAAATTAAAATTTTCCATAAAATAAATACGACTTAGAATTCGTAATTTATTGACTCATATAAATGTTATTCACGTGTAACAATATAAATTCAAAGAGAGTTAAAATTGTGTTTGTGGATTCAAATATAGTTAATCATTTATGTTTACATATTCAAACAGAATCCAGATATGAATTCAATTTGAGTAAGTTACAATAATGAAATAAATATTTTTTTCAAAAAAGAAAAATTGCGACTTAGAATTTGTAGTTTTACTGATCTATATGAATGTTATTCACTGTGTTACTTATAAACCGAGTAAAAATCATGTGTACGGATTCAAATTTAGTTCATCATACATATACGTATATATACATATACATGTGTACAGATTCAAATTGAATAAATTACGCGTGTGATATGTTGACTAGAAATGAGAAAAACATATGACCAAATTTGGAAAAAAAAGTAATACTAAAACACTAGCCACTTTCCTCTCTATATAAACCCAATGCTTCACTTCCCCTTCTCCACACCAAAAAATCCTCTCTCTATATTTTCGTCTCTTTCGCAGTCACAGATATAAACAAAACAAAACATAAAAAAAAAAAAAAAATGTGTCCAATAAGTCCTCTCAAAGACGAAGTTCGAGTACCCATACTCCAAAATATCTCCAAATCACAGAAACTACAAAAATACTCTGCTCCTCTCTCCATCTTCACAAATGAAGCAATCTCAATTGGCAAAATTTCTTTGCCATTGGTCTTCACGGGTCTTCTCCTTTACATCCGCTCATTCATATCCATGTATTTCCTCGCCGGTATCGGCGGAGCCACTCTCTCCGGCGGCTCCCTCGCCCTAGCATTTGCAAACATCACCGGATACTCTCTCTTCTCCGGTTTAAACATGGGAGTTGAAACCATCTGCGCCCAAGCCTTCGGCGCAAAACGCCATAAACTCTTCCGGGCTACAATCCAGCGAGGGATCATCCAGCTCCTCTCAGCTTCTATCCCCGTTGCACTTCTTTGGATGAACATCAACAAGATTCTCGAAATGTTGAAACAGGACAAGGATCTTGTGTCTGAAGCTCACACCTTTCTAATTTACTCTGTTCCAGATCTCTTCGCTCAATCTTTCTTACACCCATTAAGAGCTTCCCTCAGGACGCAGTCAAAGACCATACCTTTATCAATCTGCACAGCGATCGCGAGTGGTCTTCACTTTCCGATAACGAAAATCCTCGTGGTGTATCTCGACATGGGGATTAAAGGCCTTGCCTTTAGTGGGTTTGTTTCAAATTTCAACCTTGTCGCGTTTCTCTACCTCTACATCCGTTTCTTCAAGGAGAAGCTAAGTAGCGACGAGGCAGAGGAGGAGGATGATTCAAAGGTGGAGTCGTTTGAAGACAGAGTGAGAGAATGGAAGAAACTCGTCGCTCTATCGTTACCGAGTTGTGTATCTGTTTGTCTCGAGTGGTGGTGCTACGAGATCATGATTGTGCTCTGTGGCTATCTCATAAACCCTGAAGCAACCGTTGCTTCAATGGGGATTCTCATCCAGATCACTTCCCTTGTCTACATTTTCCCGAGCTCGTTGAGTTTCGGAGTCTCGACTCGGGTCGGGAACGAGCTGGGTTCGAACCAGCCACAGAGAGCGAGAAGAGCAGCAATCGTTGGACTCGGTCTCAGCATCGCTCTTGGCTTCACGGCTCTGGCCTTCACCGTCTCGGTCAGGAACAGATGGGCTAAAGTTTTCACGGAGGATGAGAAAATCATTAAACTGACTCTGATGGCTCTGCCAATTGTTGGACTTTGTGAGCTCGGAAACTGCCCTCAGACGACGGGATGCGGCGTTCTAAGAGGGTCGGCGAGGCCGAAGATAGGAAGTAAAATCAATCTTGCGGCGTTTTATTTGGTTGGCTTGCCGGTGGGAGGGGCTCTTGCGTTTTGGTTTGGGTTAGGATTTAAGGGACTTTGGCTTGGGATGCTCGCGGCGCAGATATCGTGTGTGATTGGTATGATGGTGGCGACTTGTAGGACTAATTGGGATTTGGAGGCGGCAAGGGCTAAGGAGCTCACGGCGGTGAAGGGCGACGGAGGTAGCGGCAGCGACGACGGGGATGTGGAGGTTGGGAGGTTGCTAGAAGATCGCTCTGTTTGATATGACTTTCTTATGGATTAATTGATAACTTTCTTCTTTAATTGGAATGAAATCATTAAGGTGACTAATGTAAAGTTTGTGAAATAATGATAACATCCGAGAGGTTCGTCGTTACAAAACATGGTGCATGCAAAGGTTTTCAAATTCATGTCTTGAAATTTTGACCAAATTGATTGATTAAAGGCTTGAGGTTCTTTCACAAGCAATTTATAATCTCTACGTTTGCCGACGGTTGCAGTTGTACACGTTTAACATCAACCAGTGAAAAGTTTTGTACCATTTTATTATGTTCTAAAGTATAAAACTAGGCCTGAGAATTAGGTGAACCGAACCGAACCGAACCGGTTCAATTTTCGGTTAGTTTGGTTTTTGAAATTGTTTTATCAAAATTAACCAAAAATAGGGTTCGGTTTTAAATTTTAGTGAAATTTTCGGTTTTTACAATTAGAAAAGAGCACTTAAAATAACAAAAAAATAGTTCTGTTCAAAACAAAATTAAAGATAGCATAAATTATTGCGGAAAAGTATTTGTTCATGTAAATGAATTACAAATATAAAGTTAAAAAATTATGGTTGAATTTTTTTTCTCCAATTTATGATTTAGATTTCTCCGGTTAAATTAGGCTTTGAGTCATTATGATATCAAAATTGTGTTGTTATTAGAAATTGAAAATTACTGGTAAGACGTTTGGAGCAAGAAGTTGCTATTTTAAAGCATTGTCCAAAAAATAATCAAACATAGACTTAAGAAATTAAATTAATTTACCTCATATAAATAACTATTATTATATGTGTTAAGAAAGTTATAAAACATCATTATTAAAATTATTAAATAAGTTGTAAATACTTTATATACTTACATGATCTGGACTTGCAATATATATAAGTCTCCACCGGAAACAGCCATGGTGTTATTATTACACATGGAAGTATAATTTTGTTGTAAATGCGAAATGTATATCCCATGAGGGAACATACAAGAGTGGGTGTCCCTGAAAGGGAGAAACGGAGTGTCTTTAAATTGTTTAGCAGATCATTATTTTTAGTTTAATAAAGAACGATAAAAGTTTATACGAAATTACGAATTCATAGATGACCCGATCTCCTGAATAATGTGCATTCTATCAAAACAATATCAAATAAAAAAACAAACCACATGCTCATTTTTATGTGATAATACATTTGTAATTTGACATTACTATAATACGAAACTAGTGGAAAAACCAGTAAAATAAGTTGTAGGAATATCCCCTTTTTAAGCATTCAAAGGCCACTACAATTTTGTCTCTACAAAACAACCAAAGTGGAAAAACTCACTCCAGACACTTCAAAAGCTTCCATATATTAGTTTATTTGTACTTATTTCTTACGAAATCCCTGTCTTAGTGAAGATTCACTTTTGTGATAAAGATTCATCACTAAGACACTTACTATTATTTGCATTACGCTATAACCTAATCAAATAGTCGATGTTCTGTTCGACAAACTTAAGTTTACTTCTATAGTTCTATTAGGACAAACTTATCAATCTCAGATCGCCATTATATATTATGGCATATATATATATATACATCTAGTCAATGAAATTAATTAAGGTTTATTTGCCAAACTGACGTGATTTAGGATAATATTTGCAGAAAGGAAAACACCGTATGGTACTTTGTAAATTCCGCATGTTTTTACCACGCATAGTGTTCTATAATTTGCTATCATTAGAATTTTAAGTTAATAGTAAACTATGTTTGGAACATAACTTAAAATTTTATCATTTTAAAGAATCGCCCTATATATTAGATATTATTTTGTATCTAATTTTCTCTGACATGGTAAAGTTAAATGTTTTTCTTGTATTTTTTTTTTTTATAAAAGTTTTTCTTGTATTTTTAGTAAAAGACTAATACATTATGGTGTCAAGAAATACATTAAGAATAGCGATTAAGCAAAAATATTAAAATACTACACTAGAACGTGGGTAAAATATCCTAAGAGGTAAACTATAGTGTATTGATTAATTCATCTTTTTTTTTTTGAAATTCATGAAGGAATTACGCAGCATCCTTTGTCTCAAGACTCTCAACGTGGCAGCTTACTGCTTACGGGGAACTGAGAAAGATTTGGTAAGGAAACACAATGCCAAGAATCACTCATGATTGAATCAATAAGTTATAACACGTACAACTGCAAAATTTGTAATTAGTTTGCTAATTAATTGATTAGTGATAGTGGGTACGTACTTTTCCTAGTCTGGTCCTAGGTATGAAGAGCCAATTGTACTTGTTTTTCTTATAAAGTAAGCATATTGTACTTGTTATGGTCTGTCAGATTCTAATCTATTACTGTATTAAAATTCCCACGTGTATACAGAATATTTGACACTAATGCACGTCAGATAAAATATTATTGAGGTTAATATAAACATTCCTTTTATGAAAAATATATGATTTATCCATATTCCATAGCATATTAATTAGTTAATTTAGATTTTTCTCGGCCACTAAGAGTCGAACTCGGCACTTAATATACTTTCTCTTCAAAGTTTTTGTTGATTATTGTACCCATACTATGTGAGTTCATAGCAGTCAAGTGGTTAAAGAATTCATCAGAGAATTCAGAAATTGGAGTTCGAACTTCTTATTACAGTTTTAATTATGATTTTTTCATGGATATATATATATATATAGCTTCTTCTTAAATTGATTGTAGAGTATTCGTACATAGTAGACCCCTACACCTTCTACATTATCGGCAATAACTTGAAGCTGATGAGATAACAACATATATATATATATAAACTATGATCAGTGAATTTATATTAATGTAATCACATGCATTTGTACCTTACATGGATCAAATTCAGGAGAGATTGCCTCCTCGACCTTCGATTATGAAACACCCTCAAATGAATTATTAAAAAAAGCCGAGCAAACCATTTGACTAATTAAGAATCCTTGTAATATATTGACTATAGAACGGTCTCAAAAGGCCATGCCAAAAACTAAATCCTATATAATTTAATAATCTTTTCGTCGTCTTGAGGCAATTGTAACAACAAAGTAACTAGAGCAAGGTATATGAAAAGCTACGCGACCCAAATTTTACGAGTTCTCTAACTCTTTAAGAAATAACTAACTGTACTGCACATATAAAATGTTACGAAAACATATTTCATTTTTCATATTAACCCAGAGATAACCAAAATGTAGATCTCTACATATAATATAAAACGTTATGATCGATCTACAATATCTTCCACAGTTTTTCTTAGTTTTCTACAGTGGCAAACAGATATCCGGACGAAAAAGACCAATAAATCAATAATAAGATGTGGATACCTCCAAACATTTGGTGGAAGCATTGCAAATACTAGTTCACAAAATTATGACTATAAAAATGTGAAAATGTCAACGAATTGGTTATCACCACACAAAAAGAAGAAGCTACAAATCATTAAGAATCTTGATCAAGAACAAAAAAAAAAATTCTTATAGAAGTACAAGGTCAAGTCCGCATCTAGCTGCTGTCGATGCAAAACATTTTAAATTTTCTATTTGACAAAAAGTATTTATTTTTTCTAAGAAAAAAATTTTCTAAGAAAATAAGAACCTAACCCGTAAAATATACAAGCTCAAAGGAGCTGAATAACGAGATGATGTCAAGAAAATCTCCTCGATTAGCCTCTTTACACCAATTAAGTCAATGGAGTATTGAACTCGCCAATATACGATTATGATCAATCACAACCCTCGATATTTCCCTTCCAACTTTGGAGCAAAAAACACGAGCAAACTTGAATGAAAGAGGTAAATTCTAGATACATTTTTGAGTAGAGTGTTGCAAAAGAAAAGGATTCTCAATAGATCATAAAAAACATGATTGAGCAACATATATATAGTTGGGGTTGTGATAAATATATATTTGCTATTTAAATGGGTCTGAAACTAATTTTGCGATTAGTGATTAAAGGGCATTTGATGCAAATTGGCTTAATTAGATTTAGTGATGAGGCTTTTGCCCTAGATGAAAGGGTATTCTTGAAAAAGCGTGTGCTAGTTGCAAGATTATTGTATCCTGATACAAACTACTATTATTTTGGCTCTGAATGATGACTATTAGAAAAATAATAGAAACGAGGAGGAAAAAATGAAAAAATGCATAAAAAGAATGGAATAGATCGATAGAACGAAATAATAACTACAACAATATAGTAACCTTTTACATTGAAAATAAAATCATCATCAAGTTTGATTTTTTAAACAATCATTTATATTTGTTGTAGTTCATAGCTAAATATGTGTAGACAGTGTAGTTGCGTTTATTACACTCAAAAGTAGTTCTTTGTGTTCATGGATTAGCGTTTTGGCATTTGTTTGTTTTAAAGTAACCGAGATAGATATTGGATCGAAACCTAAACTAATCTCCGAGGGATATAGAAAGTACAATAATTACGCCATTAATTAAAAAGTTTGTAATGATCGTAAAAATTTTTTTATTGACTCTGCAATCAACACATAATATTTTTCCGTATTTTAACCTCATTTATACGGTATTGTGAATTACTTTATAATATATCATTCAAAAATTTTTTCAGCTCAAACACGTTTAATTCTGAAATTTTTTCAAAACCCGTATCTGAAAAGATAAATACATTTAAATAACATGAATAACTAAATCAATTATAATAAACCTTTTCATATATACAAGGCATCAGAATGTTACACCAATCAAAACCGACATATCATTTTGATTACGCACGTTTCCTCGTATACCATCACTCCGTTTACTGAATATTAATATAAACGAACAGTATACGCCGAGGTTGATCACTACTATATAAGAACTAAAATAATATAAGGAAGAGCCTATAAGCCTCATTTCCCTTATTAGATTTCTCAGATTATTGAAGTCAAATCTTAATTAATCCTAATGCCCAATAGTACACAAGAAGATTGAAAAGTATAAATGATCAAATCAAGGACGAATATATAATTTATTAAACGCAGGGTTAGGGAGATAGAGAGTGGTGGCCTTGAAGGAGACAAGACAGCGGAACAAAGAAAGAGGCTTTTGCTGTTCATGCCATTGCTCACTTTGGTCTTTTGGTTAGCTTCAACAGT